TATATATATATATATATATATATGTATATATATATATATATAGAGAGAGAGAGAGAGAGAGAGTGAGAGAGCTTGAGTGTGCAATCGAGTTCTGATTTTTTTTCTTTGGAGGTGTGAAGTTGAGGGCGCGTATTTTGTTGTGTTGCGTCTCAGGGGCGTACGGCGTACGTGAAGATTGGTGGCGAAGATGTAGAGTTTAGCAACAATTTTCGTCTGCTACTGCAGACAAAGTTGCCGAATCCACACTACAAACCCGAAATAGCAGCACAGTGCACTTTGGTGAACTTTACGGTTACGCCGGAGGGTTTGGAAGAACAGTTCCTGGCGATGATTGTAAACGCAGAGCAGCCGGAATTGGAAACCTCAAAGCAGGCTTTGACGCGCAAGCAGAATGAATTCAAAGTCACCCTAGCCCAACTTGAAGACAAGCTTCTCTTTGAACTCTCTAATGCAGACCCCGAACTCATCCTCGCCAACACCACCCTCGTTGAAAGCCTCGAGGAAACCAAAAGAACCACCAAAGAAATCCAACAGCAGGTGAAACACAGGAGCTGCAATACATCTTTATTCTGTTTCATTGATATTTTCAATTATATCTGCAGTTTGGCCTGGGTGGTCATGTTGGTGCACGTATTCGGGGGCGATGCCTTCCAGTTAGTTCTTCCTTTTGCTTGATGGGGCTTTTCTTTCCTGGCTAGCGTCTCCTAAGTGCTTTCCGCATGTTTATCACTCCGGTGGTGATACTATCGCTCTTTCCATGTTTACTGCGGCTTTTCCCGGCTCTTATTGGTGGTGTCGATTCCCTTGTGCATGGGAATGGTACAACAATAGCGGCAATATTATTGATATTATTCATATTACTAATCCTAGTAACTATTATTAATTACAATTATTGTGGAACTAGTAGTAGTAGATTAGCGCACTACTACTGGCAACAATAGTTCTGATGCTTATTCGCGCAAGAAGAGACTGCCGAAGGCCTGCCGACCGCATTCCCAGATTACAGCTACAAACTTGAATTTCTTATAGTCATTGAATGTAGTTTTATATGTTAAATAAGCTGTTTGGAGGGCAAGTTACAAAACCAGCCCTTCAACGCATCGTGTCCATTTATCATTCAATTCATGCGAAAAACCCACTCGTCCCCTTCATTTGCTTGCACTGGCACCCGAGCCAGGCTTTAGTGTAAGCTTGCGGGCTTAGGGTTTGTGTGGTTGGGGTTGCAGCAAGCGATGGCGAAGGAACGAGAGGAGCAGATAAACAGGAGTCGTGAGGCGTATCGCAGTTCTGCAAATGAAGCCTCTCTGTTGTATTTTGTGTTGACACGTCTCCGCAGCATCAACCCCATGTACCAGTACTCTCTGGACTCCTTCATCACATTTGTGTATAAGGTAACCTGCAGCCAAAAGTGTAGTTTGACTACTATTTGGGAACCCAAGTACAGAGTGTCTAGGCCTAGCACGGCAACAATAGCGCTTGCATGCTATTGTTGATGTACAGATATATCCTTATACAGTCTAATACAGCATTTGGTTCAAACGCTCCATGTACTGATTGGTCTAGCATACTCCATGCCTTTATTTGACAGCAGTTAAGCGAACAGTTTCTGCTGTTGAAAGTATCCTACAGACAGTTAAAGACTAGGCTTACTCGAGTGAGAGTAGTACGGCTACCATTTTTGAGGTATATACTCCTTACCCATCCTCTACTGAGTGCCTCTGCAGCCACTATGTGCAAAATAACTATTTGAATTTGTGTTCGTTGTCTGTCTGAGTGGTGGTGCTGCAGGCGATCGACAAGACAAAAGCATGCGATACGATTCAAGAGCGTTGTGTGGAATTGACAACTTCCATTAGAACAACCATCATAACGTGGGTTGGCAGAGGTTTGTTTGAGAAGCACAAGCTGGCTTTCTTGACAATGCTGACCTTCGAGCTGCTGCGTGGAGGTAAACTAAAAGACGCGTTTGACTCACAGCTGCTTGATTTCCTCTTGCGAGGACCCATCAAACCGGTTTCCGAAAACCCCCTTGCTGACTGGCTGCCGAACAAGGCCTGGTTTGCTGTTCAAAAACTTATTGAACTCCCTGGGTTTGATAACTTCGCCACAAATATGCAAAAGGATGCACCCTCCAGATTCAAAGAATGGTTCCAGGAACTTCAGCCCGAAAAAGTCAAATTGCCACTGGACTGGAAGACACTGGACTCCATGCCGTTCAAAAAGCTCGCGGTCCGTCTGAAGTGTTGAGTTGAGTGCAGTTCAGGAGTTGTGCTCTTCGTTTGCTTGTGTTAATCAAATGAACGGCAACGGCTATGCAGATGTGGCATATACATATATACATACATTATATGTTGTAAATGTGTTCATGTACATCCCCTAAGCCGTACTGGAAAGCAACGGGAGCTACAGCATTTACAGAGGCCACGTCGATATAAGCATAAACATGTTTACATATTTGCATTAACACATATACACACAACAGTGTGTATTGTATATTTACGTTGCTGAAAGTCGCATGTGCATGTGTTCAATTGCATTTGGTGTATGCACCTGCAATAGACAGAATAGTACTTTAAATAACCACGAACAGGCGGAGGTAGTCCTTGACTACTGAATTAATGCAATGAAGCCACACCTCCACTGTCACATCCACCGTGAACGCATGCACTCATATGTATGCATGTATAAATTGACTACGTGTCGTTGTATTCATCAATATTTGAAGCCTATCGCCTCACCACTCCCTAGCGATTTTGGACCGTTGAGTCCCCCAATTGGCTTAATTGCCTTCACCATCGAAAAATTGCATGCGATATTAAACCATAAATATACATCAATGGAGTATATATATATATATT